GCCCCCACCACTTCCAACGCCACAGCCCTCGAGACCGTCCTCAAGTTGCCGCTCTCAAGGCTCCGGCCCCGCCCTGAACCCACTGAACCCTTCGTCCTGTCACGCCTCCATTTGACCTGTGGAATACTGCACACATCTGCTCGGTCAACCATACAGTGGATACAAAATGTCTGCGTAAAATGCTGAATCGCGTCTGTGTCAGTGGGCACGATTTGTGATGGGGAGTTGAAGAACTGGACCCTGAGTGAAGCGGTAACACTCACGCCGTTAGCTTCAAGGTTTCCTTGCATTTTGTAAGAAACGTTATTTCTTTATTTAGTTTCCTTATTAATATTTGTTGAGAAACTAAAAAAACTTAAGTCGGGAGAGGTCCATCGAGAGTATTCGGACTCCAGGCTGTATTTGTCTACGTACTGTTTTGTTTCAGAACTATATAGAAACCAGTGATAAGCGGTATCTTTTCTTTACTCTATATTTTCATTGCTCTTCAATTACAATTCATGGCTCTTGAACAATCATTACTCGCAACGCGCACCGGACGCTCACCGCGGATACTCTATTTGACATAAAACTTTACCAACAATTATTTTGTTCTTATTACAGCGGAAATTCCTCAGTTAAGGAACGGGTAGGGTCTTGGTCCGTCGACCGTCTGCTGAAGGAAAAACCGCTATCTGGGTAACAAATACATTCTGTCTTTCAAAAGCTGATTCCACTTTTCGCACCTGTGTATTGAATGCCTTGTTGAAAAAAAGCTCGTTTGGTACAGCGTTGAAGAAATGCGCAAGATAAATGTTGAGCAAATGAACAGCTGCTGAGATAAACTAGTGGTGCTACAGAATGGCACAGACTTTCCTACTTACTTTGGTCTCAACTAGCCACATACTCTGACCAAATGCCATCCATCGCCACCCAAAGTACATTTTTTTGAAATTTTCTTATTTTTTTGATTTCTTAATAATAGAACGGAAATATTATTGTAGGAATATTAAAAAAACATTTAAACTTTATCCTAATTTGCAATTTTCTTTGAAAAATTTGAAGTCAATTTTAAGAAAATGGGGTTAAGTGCTATTGTAAACTTGAAATGTGTCATTTTTTCACACAAACTTATTGAATTTTCGAAAAACTTCATTTAAGTTCATTAAAAGTCATTTCAAAAACTTTATCCCAAATACAATAGTGTTTAGAAATACATTTTGAAGGCGTTCCTAATATTTAAAAAAATTACATTTGTGTAATTTTTGAAAAAACAAGTGAATACAGAAAAGTTAATTGAATGTCATCTTAAACAGTGTAATTATCACTATCTGTTGCAAAAGTTTAAGGAAAATATTTGGAGCCGTCTTGGGGAATATTGCGTTTGAGCGTTTCTGAAAAAACTGAAATTTGAGCTCATTTTGACGGAAATTTGTTGAGTTATCTGGAAAATTTGTGTGACATTTTTTGAAGCACATGTACTCATAAATACATTAATGAAAAGAAATTGCCGCTAGAGTAAATATTATCAATATGAGAAACAAGTAAAAATTATTTTTTTGTAATATTTTTAAAATCACAAAGGAATAGAGAAATGTGGCGTTTATGTCTTCTTATAGAGCGCATTTGGCACAACACCTATGAAAAGTTTAAAGAAAAACTTTGCATCTGTTTTTTAAAAATTTTGTTTTTGTAATTTTTTAAATTGCACAAATCCAACGCAGTAATGCGTTGCAAAGAAAAATCTCTATCTTTAATTTTGTAGTTGTACGAAATTCAAACTTTTGAAATTTTCGAAAATTCAGAGTTAATCGTGAAAATTGGATCTATGCTACCTTTATAAGTGTAAAGAAAAAATTTGGATCTAGTTTTTTAAAAAATTGAAAATGTTCAAGAGGCTTATGTATAGTACCCCCAAAAACAAATGAATGATTTTCAAAATCGGTGAGCTACGAGTCAGGTCTAATAGAAGAGTTTCCTAAAATTGGAAAAAAATCCTACGTAGTGTTGTATACATACACCAGACGGATAGACGGACGAACGTTTTGCAAAGAACAGCATTTTTAGTATCAAAATTGTATTTCCGTAGAAATCTCGAAATCGATTTTCCGCACCATTATATACCTTTACCTATACTACATATATTACTCCCTATATATGTATGCATACGACAATGTAACAAGCAACAAAGCGAGCTTTAGATAATTTCATTTTCTTAGAAAATCTAGAGAGAACTCTGAACAAAATTAGTAATCTATCTTTTAAATACATTGATATATGTAGAGTTTTCAATGTTGATTTTCTGAGCGAATCCCACGAAAAAGAGCAGTTTCTCAATTTACTGCATTCTTTTGATTTAGATTTTGCAGTGAATGTACCTGCACGGAATACATTTACATCACAGAAAGCAATAGATCAAATTATAATTAACAAAACAACTAAATATGAAATAAAAACTACTAATCTAGGTTACAGTGACCGTGATGCACAAATTCTTACAATTACTATTAACATGAACACTGACACAAATTATTCACGCATGTGCAGAGCATTCAAGTTAACACAAAATGATTTACTGACTACTTGTTGAAGGAATCATGGGCCACAGTTTATAACGCTGATGACACAAATGAAAAATATAGCCTATTTTTCTCAAAACTTTCATTTCACTTTACGCATGCTTTCCTCTCAAAAAGAGAAAATTAAATATTTCACGGAAAAATAATACTTGGATTACACAAGGTATAAGAACATCGTGTAAAAACAAACGTACGCTTTACTTTATTTCCAAACATCATAACTTATCACCCGGTTTCCATATCTACTTCCGAAAATACAAAAGAATATTAAGAAAATTAATAGTTGAAGCAAAAATAATGAAAAATAATCAGGATATTTTAAACACCAGTAACAAAACTAAAGCAATGTGGAGTATCGTAAAAAAACGACCACTTCATATCGTTTCTTAGTAGAGAATGTTGTTTTAAAGGATAATGAAGGAGAAGCCAATAGTCCGGAAAAAGTGGCAAATCTCTTCAACCAACACTTTTCTAGAATTGCGGCTGAACTCACGAAGGGACTAAAATCGTCAAATTCAACATCACAGTAATACCTTCCCCAAAAATTTTCGACACGATTTTTATTTCCAAAACTTCTAACAAAATCTTACGAGTAGTCAGTAAACTAAAAAATAAATATTCATCTGGTTTAGATGAATTTCCGGATTGTTTATTGAAAACTTGTATGCCTGCCTTTAAACACCCGTTAACTCACATTTTCAATACTTCTTTATGCACAGGAATATTTCCAGATATTTTCAAAACAGCACAAATTAAGCCACTTTTTGAAAAAGAGAGCAAGAATTAAATTAAAAATTACTGACCAATTTCTCTTTTGTCAGGTTTCTCTAAAATATTAGAGAGGCTTTTCTACATGCGAATGGAAACTTCTCTCAGGAGAAACGAAGCGTTTTTAGACTCAACACGGGTTTAGAAAATCGATATATACGGAAACTGCCATTTTTTCTTTTCTTAAAGATGTATCATCAATGTACCAAAATGAAGCACCCATTGAAATATTTTTGGATCTTTCGAAAGCTTTTGACGTTATTGGCCATAACATCTTGCCATCAAAATTACCTTCTTATGGAATTAGTGGTATCTCCCTAGATTGGATAACTTCGTACTTTAAACATTGATCTCAAAGAGTAGAAACACCGTACTGGCACGAAAGGACATTATTTAATTATCTTTCCCATTCTTTACCAATTGAATATGGGGTTCCGCAAGGTTCGATCTTATGTCCTATTCTCTTTCTGTTATACGGAAACGATATGCCGTCGTCTATTAAAAACGGAAAAACGGCTATGTTTTCCGATGATACGAATGTTCTTTGCAAAAAAGAAAAAATTCATAGTACGATTTTAGAAATTTCAAATTGGTTTTGTAATAAGAAATTAATAGTTAATGAAGGAAAAACAGTTTCAATCCATTTTTGTCTTTCAAATCAACAATCGCATGCTTCATTGACAATGAATAATATGCAATTAGGCGATGTTCAGGTAACAAAACTTCTAGGTCAGTCAATTCTGTCAAATCTCGAATGGAATGTACATATAACCAAATTAAACACTAAATTAAGTTCATTATGATACGCATTCAGAATTCTATCAAATTCTGTCAGCCTTCATGCAGCTTGTTGCGTGTATTTTGCATATGTACTTTCCCGTCTGAGATATGGTATACAATTCTGGGGAAAGTCATCATGTAGTTCTCAAGATTGCAAAAGAAAGTTATTCTAATAATGAAAAAATGCCATCCGCGTTGCCCATGCAAGCCTCTCTTCATTGAGCTTGGAATCATTCCACTGCCTTGACTATATATAATTTACGAATCTGTAATATTTGTCAAAAGTGACTTACTTAACAGTGGGAACATATTTTCATGCAATACTGATATTTATAATTACAACACACGCCGTAAAAATCACGTTCTTCAAGTGTCAGTATCAACAGCTCACAATCAGAAATCCACATACAATACGTGTACGTTACTTCACAATTCACTGCCAGATGACTTTAAACAATTGAAGACGGTTCACAAATTTAAAAGTAAAATCTTTTCTGCTGCATAACTGTTTCTACACAATTATAGACTATACTGATTATCAAAAAGAAAAATATTGTTTATTTTAACAAAATAGTGATATATAATAAATTAGTTTACATTTGTATTGGATTTTTTAAAGATTTAATATGGTTGTAACAAATAATGTACTTCAGCTTCTGGGTCAATGACTCCCATCTCGATGAGGATTTTGTCCTGTTTCCCTGATCCATTGAGAAAATGCTGAGATGGCCCCTTGTTTTGCTTCTGGACGTAAATGTAGCTTCACTTTGCGCACGTATTGTTGAACTCTCCTTTTGCTTGTAATGGTAAGAGTAGAGGTAAGAGCGAGTTGCTATTGATAATCTTGCGATTTTTTAATATATTTTTAAAATTGTTTTGTATTTTTTATGTTAAACTTTTACTCATCTTTAAACTATTTATAGTTAAAATGACGGGAAGGGATTCTAGAAATCAAGAAAACGTGCGCAGATATTTTTTTCACCCCTCCGTCACATACAGTTTTTACTATTTTTTGACGGAATAAATCTAAATCTAAAAAGAACCCTAGAACCTCCCGGTCAGTAACGCTACAGAGAAAACTGGAACGATGCCATTGAGCTATCGTTACATCGGCGAAGTGCACTTAAAAACATAGGAACCAAGTATTATCTACATTACAAAGTTTTCATTTTTCAACACCAAATATTCTACTGTTTCATACTATTCGTGCTAATAGTAAACATAACAAAAGGCTTCCTACTTAAGAAATCCGGTAAATTATATAATGTAAAAAGTTGCATAAATAGGTTAAAAATTGGAATAGTTTCCAAAACCATGAGAGTAAATGACAATTTTACAAAAGCGCTTTAACTAAGTTCTCTAACAACAGGCTCTCATTAATTTTACTTTCTGTCAGAGAAAGTTGTGTAATGCTGCGCGAAAAAAACGCGACGTTTCGTTAGAAATACTCTTATTATAGGGCTCTGGCAACCAAAAAGTGGTTAAATCCTGATGCCAAATTTAGAAAAAAACTCCTCCAACCCGTGATGTAGCAAGAACCAACCTTCTGTGGCTTCTTGATACCTAAAAATCGATGAGCGTCAAAACGTGCCAATTTGGCAATTGCATTTGGAGTCCCACATGGATCGATATTAGGCGCTATTCTCTTCCTACTATATGTAAACGTTACGCCCTCGACGATTAGAAATGGAAGAACAGTTCTCTTTGTGGATGATAGAAATATTCTTTGCAATAAAAAAACGTAAATAGTACAATAGCAGATATTTCAAATTGGTTCCGTAATAAATTAATAGTAAATGAAAATAAAACTGTTTCAATGCAGTTTTCCACTTCAAATAAACAATTCCACTGAAAATGAACGGTGTGCCATTGACTGTTGTTAAGATAACATAATTTTTAGGTCTTTCAATTCAGTATAACCTTAAATGGAAAGTCCTTTTTAATGAAATTAACATTAAATTAAGTTCTTTATGCTATGCTTTCAGAATTCTTTCAAATTATCAGCCTCCATACTTTTCCTTGTGTATATTTTGCGAATGTGTTCATTTCCGCCTGAGATAGGGCATAATAATCTGGGGAAATACATCATATAGCTCCCAGACTTTTACATTACAAAAACGAATTGTAAAAGCAAATCCCACACACGTGATTACTGTAAGCCTCTCTTTATTAGTCTAGGTATTTTACCATTCCCTTTTATCTTGATAAATTAATCAGTGGTTTTTACACCTTGGACACCTTGGATTGCTCACACCTTGGGCGAGGGGATGTTTTACGTAGTTGGCTCCTCTAGATCTGTTGTGTTTTGTCAAAGCAGGGCTACCTCAGGCAGGATGTGGCTCTTCCCCACGCATGGACGATCTCGGGCAAGGAGAGGCTATTTGACACCTGGCATTTATTTGACGCTTCACTTGCCCCTGGGTTTGGTGAGGACCAGTGTCCAATAGAGCTAATCAGTTATGGTGAAAAATGCTACCTCTCCCTAAACCCTTAGTGCCTGTAATCGCAAATGTTTGGAACTCGCGAATAGCAAATTCGAGGATATCAAGGGATTACTGAATTTGGATATGTCTGCACCTTATATTAGAAGAAATAAAAGTTTACGTTTCTCTGTAGAACAATTCAACATTTCTTTCTCAGAATATATAACAAATAAAATTATTTCTTAAGAAGCAACTACCACCACAATAAATAATATTTTAGATACTTATGACAGTAAAGTTAATGTTTTGGTACTTTATTGCACACCTAACAAATCACATAAAGTCTAGAATTAACATAAGTGTCGAAGAATACAAAATGTTTAAATTCAACGAATAAGTACTTATTATTCGATATAAAAAGAAAGCATTTTTTATTATTTTCTTGCACTAGAACGATAAAAAACAAAACAAAAACAACTTAATGTGAGAATAATAAAATGGTAAGTGCACTTCTTGGATAATGTGTCTCTTTATCATCTGATTACGTAGAAGCAGTATGAGTTTCTAAATTTAACAATAGATGCTGTTCTTCCTCTCAGGAAAATGTTTCCACTAGAGGGTTAGGTAACCACGTGACTAGTAGCGTGAAAAGTGTAAAAAGACTTCTGATTTGTAACTACACTCATTTATACAAGTAATTATGTTTACATATTAAAGCAAAATTAATACGTTACATCGTGGGAATAAGAGCAGCACACGCTGCCACCGCGACACACCATGATCATGTGACTCGGAATGACAGGCTCAAAAGTGGGTTAATGCTAGGTTTAGGTTTATGCTAAAGATCTTCACACAAAACAACTCTCCATTGTGGATAACACATCACCTCAATATCAGATCATGAGCTGTCAACCTACAAACTCGTCTAAGTTTAAATAGATCAGAAAGACCTGAAAGTCTTCGTGCGTTGGAATGATACAATTATTCAACAACTTTTGTGTGATGCTGTTTCTTAACTACGTGTCAGTATTCAAGAGACTCAGTGCTCCGCTCGTATTGGAAAAGACAGCGTACGTCTGTTCCAAAGCATTCTGGACACATGACGCAACCCAATGATCACGTGACTAGGTTAGTGAGCGATAAATTTTGTGATTACACTCTCTCATTCTCGTGGAAGAGCGATTTTTCTTTATCATTTCAGCGTAACGTTGGAGTTCATGTTTGTGCTAAGGTATGTTAATAACGTTTAAGGTAAAGTGCTCACGCCCTGCAAAACTATCCATTGCCAAAGAAGTGTATCGAATAATGTGCACTGAGAACTAAGGCGAAAAGTGTGCAAGCGTGGGCTGTTGGTGCTGTTGCAGTTCGAGTCGCAGGACGTGCTGGTGCCGTGGCACCGACCGCAGCACCTGAGCACGCCGTCATTGGAACTCACCTCCACCACCACCACAACCACCAGCGAGGAGGACGGCCCTCCGCCCTACCACGCCTACACGCAGACGTCGGACAGCGACTCCTGCCGCTCCGCACGGTGAGTCCATCTGGCGCTCACCAAATGAAAAAAATAATCACAACAATAATAATAATAATAATAATAATAATAATAATAATAATAGTCTTTATAAGTGGCGAAGTTCCCGCCTTAAGGCCCCCAAACCACTAAACTTCTAACACTTCTACTTGTAGAATTGAATTTTCACTGGTTGGAATATGAAATATTTATGAATCAAAGACTGATCACAAACGAATGTTCATGTTTTTCGGACCGTCTGAGATAGTTCAGGCCAATAACGTGCCGCTGCGGTATCTCTGGCCGAGAAGTAGCGTTTGAGTCACGATGGTGAAGAATTTTCGACGTTAGCAAGATAGCCAAGGTCGAATGGAGTTTCTATTTGGAGGATTATTTTAGCAGCCGGCTACTCTGATCGGTAGTTTCTCAAACAATACCAAGCGAATGCCGGAGCAGTTCGTAAACAAACCGCGCAATCCTCTATGGTCTGTGCGCTATATATCTGCACTACGAGTTCGAGATAGGAGGCAAGTCTCGTGCCGTCCATGTTCGGTTTGTTGAGGTACTTCTGCGACATTCACTGCCTGGTATTGATCGGAGCATCCGGCCGCTTGAATTCTCCTCCAGACCCCTAGCTAAGTGTCTAGTGTGTAAAGCGAGCCAACGACGGCGGATGGGCGCTGGGCGGCGTGGTTGCAGGCCCGGCGCTGGGCAGAGGAAGCGCGGCCGCAGCCGGCACAAGGGCCGTTCCATCGACCCCGCGCGCCCCGCCAGCTCCT